TTTACTTGGCCGGTGTCAAGGACGATAGTCGGGCTACAATCCTTGACAACACCAACCTACGATGCGGCTCAATGCCCTTTCGGTACCTCGGCGTCCCCCTCACCGCTGACCGTATCACGGCTAGGCTCTTTGATGATATGATTGAGCAAATTGAGGGTCAACTTAGTCGATGGAATGGACATACTCTTTCCTATGCCGGAAGGCATTGTGTCTTTTTGGATGGGAATCTTCCACTTGTCCAGCATAGTAAGAACAAAAATCACTCAAGTATGTATAAGGTTCATTTGGGGATCGAAGAGCGCTCCCGTGGCTTGGGATAATGTATGTCTACCGCGCTTGGAAGGTGGTTTGGGACTTAGGGACTTGAATGCGTGGATCCAAGCGTTGCTCACCTGGACGCTATGGAACATGCAAGCAAAAAAGGACACATTGTGGCAAAAAGGATTCACAACATTTATTTGAAGGGGAACTCCATTTGGGAGTGAAGTTAGACCGAATGACTCACCTCTCTTCAAGTCCCTAATAGACATCCGACAAAGCTTGGTTGAGAGAGCGGGAAGTGAACGAGGAGCGGAAGCCCTTCTTCGAGGTTGGAACTCCAGAGATAGACAAGATGGATTTAGTAAATGCTACGACTTCCTACGACCTAGAGGACCCATGAGGCCATGGAGTGGTGTTGTTTGGGGGGCTAGAAATACCCCTAGGCACTCCTTCATTCTATGGCTCGGCGTGCTTAATCGACTCCGGACTAAAGACCGTCTTGAATTCCTTGATGAAGACCCGATATGACCTCTATGCGGGGTAGCCAACGAATCTTCGAGCCACCTCTTCTTCGAGTGCTCCTTTGGCTTGGAAAATTTGGGATGAGATATGCGCTTGGGTTAGCCTTCGGCATAGGCCATCAACCCTTAAAGGCGCCCTCAAATGGACCAAGAAGGAGGCGAAAGGTACGGGGTGGAGGTCCAAGTTGAAGAAAGCGGCGCTTGCGGCCACCGTTTACTACATTTGGAACGCAAGGAACCGGTTAGTCTTTGAAAATGAATACCAACACCCATGCCTTGTGGTCCAGAAGGTAAAAACTCACGTATATCGCACTATTTTTGCTCTATATCCTAATGTACTTGCTGAATTTGAGAGGCGGAGTCTCAGACCTTGATGTTTGGTATTTGAGAGTTGAGGTTGAAGGGTGGCCGACTAACCGGTAAGTTGTGTTGAATTGGAGAAAGTTAGGAAAATTTTTGGGGATTCCAGGTAGTAGCGCCGCTATGTGCGTAGCGCCGCTACGGTGTGGCTGGGTAGCACTGCTAGACCTTTAGCGAGTGTGAAGCGTGGTAAAAAGGGAAACTGGTGCCCAGGTACTAGCGCCGCTAGCCTGGGATAGCGCCGCTATCTTCTCGCCCATAGCGCCGCTATGCGCGTAGCGAGGGGATAACGATGGGCTGCAAATAGATGCCTTAGAATTGAAGTGCCACTACGCCTGTAACGCCGCTAACACCACTCCCTAGGGCCGCTAAGCTGCAAAGCGCCTCTAACACGGCAGAGACTCTCTACGTCGGAACCATTCCACGACAGCGTGACACATCACTCCTAGCGCCGCTAACGCTTAGCGCCGCTATGGTCTGAAGCAAATTAGTGCACCAACGACTGCCTTGAGTGTGACCCGAGACTTGTTCCACCGAGCCGACATAGACCGAATCCCATTTGGACCCTTTGCATTTCACTTCCGTGAACTTTCAGTGACCAACCGACCTGTGGTTGTCCTCATATATCTATCTCGCGAATGAGGAACCGACTTGTGGTTGCCCATTACGCTTTCGTATACCGTCGAATGGTCCTTGTACCCAGTTTTGATCAATATATATTTACTTTTAACGATAAAAAAAAACATGGGGATGGCAACACAAAATTCTTCCATGCTTTTGTCACATAGAGAAGAAAGCTGAACTCCATTTCTAGACTGGTTGATGCCAACAATTTCTCCTATCACTCTCAAGCTGACATTGAGGATCATATTATAGATTTCTATAGAACACTCTTCAACCTCAGAAGGTTCAAGTGGAGGAGAAAACCTAATACCCCTCATTCCTTCTTCCATCTCTAATGAAATGAATAGAGACTTGCTCAAACCAGTTAAAGAAAAGAAAATTAAGCAAGCCCTTTTTAGTCTAACTCCAGACAAGGCTCCTGGGGAAGAAGGTATGACCCCACTCTTCTATCAACACTACTGGTATGTGATTAAAGTGGATCTGACTGAGGCCATCAAAAGTTTTTTTCTCCTCTGGCCTTTTACTTAAGTACTGGAATAAAACTATTGTCACTCTCATTCCCAAGACTCATAATCCAGAGCAATTAGGACACTACAGGCCATCAACTTATGCAGTGTAGTGTATAAAATTATTTCTAAACTGTTGGCACTGAGATTGCAATCCTGATTATGTTCTTGTATCAACCCTTGCCAAGCTGCATTCCTTAAGGGTAGACACTGCTAAATAATGTGATAACTTCTCATGAAGCTTTCCACTTCCTCAATAGACACAGAACTGGCAGCAACTGCTTCATGGCTTTAAAGTTGGATCTTATGAAAGCTTTTGACAGGGTTGAATGGAAAAGCATTCAAGATATTATGCTGAAAATGGGTTTTGACAGATCATTTGTGAACATGATTATGATTTGTCTTTCATTCTCCTCCCTGGCTTTCAAAGTTAATGGTTTCATTAGTAAATCAGTTTTCCCCACCAGGGGTATTAGACAAGGAGACCCTCTATCTCCTTATATCTTCATCATTGTTGCTGAACTATTGCTGCTATGATTTCTAATGCTATTAATGAGGGCAAATTATCAGGATTATGCATAGCAAGAGGAGGGCCCATTCTTTCCCATCTTCAATTTGCAGATGATGCCCTCTTATTTGGTAAAGCTAGTGTGGATCTTATCACTATCCTGGAAAACTTCAGACTATTTACTGGTCAGAGAGTAAACTTGAACAAGTCCACAACTTTCTTCAGCAAAAACACCCCCCTTACACTTCAGTGCAGAATCTGTGCTCAACTTCAAGGGATTAGCTGCCATCAGTCCACCAGATACCTGGGTTTTACCCTAGGTATTGGAAAATTTAAAAAGGAGGCCTTTGAGTTTGTAATCAATGCAGTAAGGGCAAGATTAAACAGCTGGAAAAGCAAGCTTTTATCCCCAGCTGGCAGAGAGGTTCTTATCAAGGCTGTAATTAATGCCATTCCAGTGTTGATTATGGCCTGTTTCAAACTGCCTGGGATTGTCACCAAAGAGATTTCCCGATTGTGTGCCACTTTCTGGTGGAGTAGAGGAGAATAATAGGAAAAAGGACTGCACTGGAGATCTTGGGATAAAATGACCACACCAAAGAGTGCTGGAGGTCTTGGCTTCCAGGATGTTAAACTATTTAATGAAGCACTCATTTTCAAACAACTTTGGAGAGTCACTACTCAACCTCACCTCCTAGTCAGTCAAGTCCTTAAAAGCAGGTATTTTCCCAATTCTCCATCTTTGATGCAGTTAAATCTCAAAATTGCTCTTGGCTATAGAATAGTTGGTTGGATATCCTCCCTACTTTTTCTAATGGATTCAGAATTCAAATTAAAAATGGAGTATCTACCAGAATCTTAGATGCTCACTGGATGCCCTCTCTTAACCCTGTCAAACCAAACCTCATGGAATTTGCTAAAGGCCACCTTTTCTGGGTTAAAGACATTATTAATGAGAATGATGGTAGCTGGAATGAATGGCTTATCAATCAAGTGTTATGTGAGGAAGATAGCCAAGTCATTCTCAAAATATCCTCTCTGAACCCAGCACATGAGGATAGAATGTTCTGGAAACATGAAAGGAAAGGCCATTTCACTGTCTCTTCATCTTACTCTAAGCTCCTGGATCTCAAACTCCACTCAATGGACTTTCCTCAAAACAACAGAAATTCTCACAACATTGCTAAAGCTAGAAACAGAACTTGGAGAATGAAGGTGCACAACAATCTTAACCATTTTATTTGGAAATGTTGTTCCAATACCCTGCCTGTCAAAGCCAACCTGCTGAAGAAAGGCATAGCCATTGATCACATCTGCCAATCCTGTGGAGAAGAGCTAGAAACTATCTACCACATGTTCTTTCACTGTCCTAAAGCAAAGATATTCTGGAATCTCAGCCCTATTCAGTGGGATGATATTGATACTAACTCTCCAAAGTTCTGTGACTGGTGGTGGCAAATCTGTTCCATTGTCCACACAGAGGTTGCAGAAGCTCGCATTCAACTCACCACTTATCTTCTGTGGTGGCTTTGGAAATGTCGCAACTTGTGGATCTTAGAGGCTGCACACCTGCCACCTAGAGTTGTTGTTTCAGCTGCTTCTAGAGATTGGCTTGAGTTCTCTGTTTTTGTTTCCTAATGTAGTCAATGTTTATGTTTTTTCCTTGTGTTATAGGTCCTTTGGTTTTCTTTTTCTTCTGTAGTTGCTAGTTGTTCTGTTTTACACTAGGCCTCAGCAGTGGTGTAATTTGTGGCATGTATTTTAGTTGGTTGTTTTTATCCCGTAGTGGGATCTCTAGGCCGTTTTATAGCGTGTTCTATTTTCGGCTTTTGGGTCGCATTTGTATTATTGAACCTCTCTCTCTTTCTTTGAGTTATATATATATCATCTCTTTGGTTTCGAAAAAAACAAAAAAAATAGATTTGTAAATTTTAAGTATTGAACTCGAGGCTTGAGCAATTAGACTTTAGAACCAACGATAAAATTGCAAATTTAGGTGAAGATCCATCTCTCGCCTCCTCCAAAACCTAGCTAAAAGGTATGTGCGCCTGTGCCTGATACTTGCTTTTTTTCACCTATCAATCATCCTTTGGCTAAATTTGCTGGTTATTGGAGTCAATGCAACAATTTCTTGTTTTTGCAGTAACCAAAACGGCTCGATAATAATTAAATTAATCTCAACCGCGATCTTATTCTGCAAAGCTGAAATAATTTCCGACAATGTTCCGCTCTGTTTCGACCGGAAAATCCAGCTCGAACTGGTTGGACCGGCTGCGAACCGCCAAGGGCTTCAACGACGACGGCCCTGCCGAGCTCGAAAACTTCCCGCAAAACCCCAATTCTGTTGACCCAAAACCTAATTCCGCCAAAATTCGCGATCCAACTCAGAATGAGGATACGCAATTGATCAACATAATGAGCAATGTTCTCAACGAGCTATTCAATTTTGGGGACAACCGCAGCATCTCAACGCAATTCAAGAAATCGGCCCGCAAGCAGAAAAACCCTAGAATTTGTGATGTAGGCCGGGAGAAGGAGAATGCAGCTACTGAGAAAGTGACGCTGCAAAGGAGTCGAGATGGTGAGGGGGTGAAGGAGCTTGTTAACTATGAAAATGGAGGCAGAGATGTGGATTTGGTTGGGTTTACACGCATGGAGGTGACTGTTATCGACACAAGCTACGAGTCGTGGAAATTTGACAAATTCTTGTACAGGAAGAGGAATGTGTGGAAAGTGAGGGATAAGAAGGTAAATGGTGAGAGTGTGTGGATTAAAAGAAAGTGGAAAGCAAGTGGCTGTAGATTGGAGGAGGAGCAACGTGTCGGGAAGAAAACAAAGGTTGATAAGAATCAAGGGAATGAGGAGGGGCTTGAGTTTCCATCGATCAAAGTGAGTTTTAGTTATTATTTTGAATGATCGTTTTGGTGTTTACATGATGAAATGTGGTTATCATGTTTCCATGATGAAATGTGGTTATCATGTTTACATGATGAAATGTGGTTATGTTTTTTTACGACGAGGGGTGTTTGATGGTGGGTTAAACATGGTTTTGAGTGATGCTGGTCATGGGCTACAATATTATGCTTAGCGGATATTGATTGGAATACAACCTGTTGCCTTTTGTTATATATATATATATATAATTGACATGATATCGGTTATGATGGCTTTTTTGGGGGGATTGAATGTCATGTTGTATAGAAGCCTGTTGCTGATATTATGAATCATCTCTATTGCAAGTAATACTAAGATGTGTGGTTGCTTTTCCTTTAGTTCTGTGTGATAAAATTCAATAAAACTTCTGATTTTCTTCACCTAGTTTATTTTATTTAATCATTCTGTCAAAATGTAGGATAAGCTTCCACGTGGTATTTGTTGTACGTGCTTCAAACTTTTTTATTTTGATTTCTCTTGTCTGTTGGTTGGTTCTGTCTTCTTCATTCAGAAGTTTGATATTATATAACCACGACCCATAATATATCTTAAAGATCCTTTGGACTTTCAAGTAGTGCATGAATTTTGAGGAAAAAATCTTGTGCAAAATGCTCGTCTCTTACGGAACATAAATCCCCATATCTCAGAAGAAGATACTCATTTATTCTTCAATTTTGGTGTTGCTCTATATTGTGCAATCCTATTTCTAATGTTCTGATTTTGATTTTTGAAAGCTTTTCTATTTGTACTGGGTCCTCTAGGATTTCTTTGTCATGTTACTTTGAGGGAAATGATTGGACTTGTTTCCTAGTGGTGCAGGATTGTGATGTCTTCAACTATAACTTTCCATGCTTGGCCCTTTATCACTTTCTCATTTTCTGTGATGTTGGTGTATCTATCAGATGAACGTACCAGAAGCATGTAAAACATCCCCAAAAGACGGGACTATCAAAACAAAGCAGTTGGACTCGTAAGAAATTTTCACTCTTTTTTTTTTATGTCTATTTGCAGACTTTTCCGAGTTGATAGAAAGAAACACCAACCCTAAATTTTAGCCTAGTAATAAAATAAACAAAAATATCTGCATCTTGGTCGTGCACCCTTGAGAGTTAAGTAAAGCAAAAGTATCAGTTAGGTATTTCCAACACTTAATGAAGGTGGCCCTGATTTGGAAGGATTATTGGAGTGTCCATTTCCTTTAGTGTGAATTTTAATGTTCTTCAGATTTTTTCACACGTACATACTACTAAAATTTTCTTCATCTTTTGGCCTTACAGGAAGTTGAATGATGGAAGCTCGTCTGTTATTGTTATCAAGAGCATTCACACAAGTAAAAAAAATGGGCCGAGCATTTCTAAAAGCTGTTTAAAGTCGAAACAGAAGAGAACTATGCTGATTGGCGGTTCTTGAGTGGCGATTTGCCAGGTCAAGAGAGTCGGATAATATCATTTGTCCGTTTATTTGGAGGTAACTTTGAGATGTAGATGAGCATCTATGAGCCATTTTGGGCTGCGACGGACTGAAACTTATATTATATTATCGAAATTTACCTTATTAGCCTTCCATTCCCTTTTCACATTCTCTTTTGTGGTGTGGTTCAGGCCGCTTGCACATATCTAATTCCTATATTATTTTTGTGCATATTAAGCGGATGTATGAGATTGTTGGCGAAATGAACAATCATGTATCATTTGCAAACTGCTTCTGTTTTCGAGGTGAGATAAAATGTGAATTTCTAGTTGTGAATAGAAGAAATGAACTTACACGAAAGTAGGGTGGTATTTATAATTCGGAGAACTGAATTGGACCGAATTGAAAATAGCCTCTTCAGTTTAATTCTATAGATAAATGTTTTATAAATGATTTTGGTTTTCATTTCGTTTTTTTTTTT